GAATTCTGGGAGCTGAAGTCCACACATCTTCAAGTGGCCAAGGTTGAGAAACACTGCTCTACCCTCTCTCTGCTCCTATGTAATATCTACATGAAGCCACTGGGTGAGTTCATCTGTCAGCTTGGGGTTAAGTATCATTAATATGCTAACGAGACCCAGTTATACATCTCTTGGCCAACCAAGGAACGCCATCAAGGTTCTCTCCTAGTGATTTCACCCAGTGAAGGTCTGGATAGGGAAGAACAGGCTTCAGCTTAACCCTAGCAAGACTGAGTGTCTGTGGTTTTAGGGCTCCTTGGATCTGGGGACCTTCCATCTTTAGTTCCAGATCGGGTAGCACTCCCCTGGACAGGGGTGCAATTTAAGGGTCCTCTTGAACTCTCAGCTCTTACCTGAAGAGCAAGTGGCAGCTGTGGCCAGGAGGGCTTTTGCACAAATCCAACCTATGCACCAATGGCGCCCATTCCTAGCTCAAGAGATTCTGCACATGGCCACTCATGCCTTGGTCACCTCTGGTTTAGACTACTGCAGTGCAGCCTACATGGGGCTGCCCTTGAAGACCAACCAGAAGCTACTAGTCCAGAATGCAGTGGTTTGGGCAGTCATGGGCACACCACACTACATCCATGTAACACCACCACTTCACAAGCTGCACAGACTACCATAATATCTCATAATTCTCTATCAGATAACTGTAAAACATTTCTATTTTCAAGGATGGCAACTTTGCCTGCATTGCATTAATGGACAGAGATGTAGGGCCAGAAATATAAGTGAGGACCACCAGAACAGCCAAAAAGTCAGCTTACAATCAAAGATCTAACTGGAAAAAAATTTATTTCTGCCATTTCAAACGATTTATCACAAGCATGTATTTGTCAAATTATTCATGTCCCTAAAGACAAATCTGGAAAATCAGTAGTTTAAATGCCTCACAGTAAAATTTTCCCCAATTAATTTTACCATTGTTAAAAGAATAGAAGTACCCCTTCATTTTTCAAGATATCAAAATAGAAACTGGTAAACAATTATTGCTTACTTAAGAGCAACGTTATAGTTAAAAAGATGCCAGTGCAAATCCTTAGCATAAAAATATTTACAAATTTTAACAAATTTAGCACTGAATTACTATTCAGAACAATTCTTATTGCTGGGAACTGTGCATCTGAGTGCAGTAACTTATGAACAAGAACAACACATTTTTATGCATATTTCCTTTGAAATAAGTCTTATAAAGCTGGGGCATCATCTATATTAAATGGGTTTAGAATTACGCATAGTAAAAAAATATTACAAATTGGCCCTCTTGGTTTTCTGCTCGGGTTGCAAAATTTTTTAAACAAGCTTGCTCAAGAATATTGATTTCTTAAAACAAGGAATAAGGCATACAGGTGAAAAAAAAATTGCATAGCTAATCCAGGTTCAGAGTGCATGGTACATAGGTAATTCAGCCACAATACACATTCTGAACCAAAACCAAAGGTCACTTGCGGGTTTTCAAGACACAGTCCTATACGCTTTAGTTCCCATCTCAGTGCTAAAGTGTCAAAGAATTATCTTGGCATATCATACCAGACAGAAGTGCATAGAGAAATCTCTCAGAATAAAGGTAATCCCAGAACAATAATATGAGCTCTTATAAAGCAGATTCAAAGAATAGTATGTTTTGCCACACCACAAAGTTCTCCTGAATGAAGTTCATAAAATTCAACCCTCTTAGGGGAACTTTAAGTGACTTACTCCCACAGAGATCCCACTGCTTAAGAACTGCAAAATTCATTACTGTACTCCCTACCATGCAGTGAGTGAAAGTGGGTCTAAGATATCCGTTTCATTGGGTAGCCCCATCTGAGAGACGCACCTTCACAATGAAGGATAGTCTGAAAATACGACTGTTTTTAATTGGCAAACAGACTGGCGTCGTTTAATACACAATTTTGCCCTGTGCTTGCAGTTCAGACTTGAAAACTGGCAGAAAAGAATTAGTGCTACATTCTACGTTTCTTTCCCTTGCGGGTTTATTTCTGTTCTCCTTTCCTGTTAGGTGCAAGGAACATGAATTTCTAAAGTGCAAAACAGAAAGGTTTAGGGTTAACAACAAATAAAATCAGTTCTGCACCTTGGAAATCTACATTCTTGGCACGTAACAGATTATGCCTAATTTTTTGATAGTCATCACGGCTGTTGAAGACATGGTGTCCCCGCCCTTTGAAATCCCAGACCTGCTCACCAACTTTGATTTCTAAGGACAAAGATGGATAATCATGGGAGGCGATGCAGGACCCGCCCTGGAGCAATTAGTGTTCTGTTGTGCTACTTTCAACCCTGGGGGAAAACTGTCTTCAGTCCACTTAGCTTACAATTCCAAGTTGCAGCACTGAAGTTGCAGCATCAAGCCAAGAACCGAGAACTCAGTGTTGGAGCGAGCTTAAAACTAAAACCTAGCATAGCTGAAGAGCTATTTTGAGCTTCTAGGAGGACAAAGACAACCTTCTCTGGGAGGGAGTGTCAGGATGGTCCTTTTGGGAAATAATATTACTACAGTTCACGAGTAGTCTTCTAATTCGGAGTGTGCCCGACAAATAAATACACCTTAGTTAAAACACACACAGACATCTGGAAAGCTAGCTGGTTTCACTCTTCTTCCATTAGGCAAGTTATAAAGGTCCCAAACCGTCAGCACCATCAGAAGTTGATCTATAAAACTATTCTCTCTTCAGAATAACTTTTCTAATGGGGGGGCTCTGAAGTTGAATGGATATGAAATGCTTCCCAGTTATTTTTCTCCATAACCTCTTTTAGCAACCGCACTGGTATCAGGCTGTCCATTTAATTTTGGGTATTTTATAAAACTCTAACCAAAAGACTTGGGCGTCGCCTGTATTTGCTAGAACGGCTTTTACACTTTACAAGTTTGATTGGCAACCTATTTTGCACAGTCCCAGGTACTCCTTTCAGGAAATTGGCACAGATTAAGACAGAAAACAAGTCATTGCCAGTTTCTACCATGACTTACACACGGATATGCCACGTGGCTAACGAGGATGTAGGACGCCACCTTAAGACTTAGCTAAACTTACGCTACCTTTTCAAAGAAAAGTAATGTTTTCAGCCCTCAAGAAAAGCTAGATGTTTATCCTAATGTACTTTCCATGATGCATAAAGAAACCAGCCACAGAAACATTTTTCTCTGCCTCCCTGATAGAAAGAGGTTACATAAGCAGGCAGAGATGATGAATTCATCCCATTAAAAAAAATAAACACGGATTCTGAGCTTCAGAAAGTTAGCTCAGACGTTTTCTTGTTTTTTAACATCAGCCAAAGGGGCATTCCTTGGGCACTACTCGACCCTTTTAACCTCAGTTACAATGTTTATTTCTGCCCACGTTCCCAAATCAAATTCAGATTGATTAAAAATATTAAATCAATCAATATTTCCTGGCTTTTTCCCCTCCTCCCACGTAATGTTATAATGTTCTTCCCAGCTCTGCTCTCATTAAAGACCAAGGAACTGAGGTGCACCGAGAGATGGGGAGGAACTAATCTTGTTCCTAAAGTGAGGAATCGATAATCCCATCAACTGAGCCCCAACTTCAGTTTTGCATTTTTCTCTAGCATCGTTCTTATAGCAATGTTTCTCTTCCACATCCAGAAAGACCATTTCCTAAGCTTCACAAAATGTGTATCATTTAGCAAATCCTAAAAGCACAATGACTACTGTGGCTGTACTTATTTCCCTTGAATTTAGCTCCTCCCCAGGATGTTCGTTTGCTGTAATCTGTGCAGAACAAACATACTTAAACTTGTGTGTGAAGTTTCATTTCATATTGTTAATACCTCCATTCAGAAGAAAAGGCACTTTTTAAGTGGCAAATCCACAAATCTGATTTTTTTCCCCGCTTTCATTCATTTGCAGTTCTTACCAGAAACCTTTTAAAAAGTTATCTAATGTGGCCCAAACATTATATTTTGGGAATCTATTTTGGGTGGCGATTCCGTTCTATTTCTCAAACCTCCAGAGTTGATTTTTATCCGAAGCATCACATGTCCTCATCTTTACGTCGGCTCGGCCCTCAGGAGTGCGATAGGCGCTAAGGCATTTGGCCGAGTGAGGGTGATAGATGGTCCCGTCTTCTTTAAAATGCCATACAATGTTTTCTGGGATGGCGGAACCGTCTTTGGGGCAATTTCTCATGCCCACAAAATCCTTTTGTTCCGGCACTTCGGCGCAGAGTTCCGTTACGGAGTTAAACCTGATTTCCAGGTTGGACGTGTATTCAAAGAACTGGTTGCCCCCCTGCCCGTGGCATCCGAAGAGGCTCACGTGGGCCCCGGTGGGGTTGTGCTCTGGGGAGTTGTAATCCAGACACTCTGAAGAGATGCCCAGGCTGTGAATGGCCCCGTGCCAGCCGGGCCGGTCCTCCGGGACGTGTAAGCTGGGGAACACCGTCTTCAAGTACCAGTCAAAACTCTGGCATCCCAGATGCTTCCGGAGCCGCTTCCTCTCGGAGAGGTCGCCGTAGTTCTCCTTCCGCGCCGGAGGATTCCTGTTGTAGAAGTGCTCTTTGTACTCGTCCATCCAGACCTCGGCGGCCCGCGCGGTGTTCTGCAGGAAGTTGGGCCTGGCGTAGGGGGCCCGCTTCGGGAAGACGTGCCCCACGTGGGAACAGGGGTGGATTTCCAGGATGCCCCCGCACTGCCACACCCTGAAGGACAGCTCCAGGTTCTCGCCGCCCCAGACGTCCATGCCCGTGTCGTAGGTGCCCAGGTACTCGAAGTACTTCTTGCTCACGGCGAAGAGGCCCCCGGCCATCGTGGGGGAGCGGATGGGGTCCACCTTGGACTTCCGCCGCTGGCGCTCGTACTCGGGCACCGAGTGCCACTGGAAGGTGAGGCGCCAGTCGAAGCCGCCGATCATGGGCTCGCCGGGCTGCATGTAGAACTCGAAGGTGTTCCAGTCGATGGTGTCGATGACGGGGCAGACCACGGCGCGCTCGTGCCGCGCGATGCGCTCCAGCAGCGGCTCCAGCCAGCCGGGCACGCACTCGCAGTGGCAGTCCAGGAAGGTCAGCACCTCGCCCGTGGCGAAGGTGGCGCCCACCAGGCGGGCGCGCACCAGGCCCTCGCGCCGCTGCGTGCGGATGAGGCGCACCCGCGGCAGGCCGCTGACGTAGCGCTCCAGCTCGGCCTTCAGGTAGGGCTGGTCGCTGAGGTCGTCCACCAGGATGACCTCCTTCAGCAGCACGGCCGGGCTGCTCTCCAGCACGCTGTGCACCGTGCGCAGCAGCGTGGACCAGGCCTCGTTGTAGAAGGCGATGACCACCGAGGTGGTGGGCAGCCGGCGGCGGTCGTAGGCCTTGGCGCGGCACTCGGGCAGGCGCCCGTCCTGGATGTGCCGGTGCAGCGAGATGCGGTCGCACAGCAGGATGTTGAGGGCGTAGCGCTCCAGCTCGGCCTTCAGGTAGGGCTGGTCGCTGAGGTCGTCCACCAGGATGACCTCCTTCAGCAGCACGGCCGGGCTGCTCTCCAGCACGCTGTGCACCGTGCGCAGCAGCGTGGACCAGGCCTCGTTGTAGAAGGCGATGACCACCGAGGTGGTGGGCAGCCGGCGGCGGTCGTAGGCCTTGGCGCGGGACTCGGGCAGGGCCCC